ATTCAAGTCCATTGAAAGTCCCAAGATTGGCAGAGCATGGCAGACTGCTGAACAATGGCATAGATACATGCCATTGGGTTCAAGCGTGCCATAAGCTAGAGACTGTTCCCAAGTCTTCTCCTTATTTATAGGAAGCAGACCACAGCCCTAAGTCTCTGAGCTGCTCCCAGTAGATTCCATCATGGGGAATACTACATCCAGCTGCCCAGCCACTCAACCAGGCCCAGCCAAGTTGACACACAGACTTAACCGCTACAGTCTGTCTGTGGGATAAGCTCATGTGTGCAGTTGTTGGGTCTAAGGGAGTCTGACGTCCTCATTTTGATTACTGTTTCCCTGTTGCCCTTTATTAGGAGCTCTGGTAATGTAGTGCCTAAGGCGCTTGACTGCTAACCAGAAAGTTGGCGGTTCAAACCCACCAGCCACTCCTTAGAAGGAAGGCTGGGCAATCTACTTCTGTAGTGATGCCACCTCAGAAACCCAGGGAGGGGTTGCTATGAGTCGGGTCAACTCCATGGCAAATAAGAACAACAACATTGCCCTTTATTGTTCCATCAGCTTCAGGCCCTTGACGGCTCGTGTGAGTCTGTTTTCCCACATCGTTGCTGACACGGTGCGCTGTTGCAGTTTGGGAAGTGCCAGTCCCGTATCTGGTGTCCCATGCAGTTTTCTTGGTACGAGGTTGAGCATCTTCTCACATGTTGAGGAGCCTTTTGTCTCTTTTCTGTGCCGTCTCATTTCTTACACACTTTTCGATTAGGATGTCCATCTCAACCTGTGGGTTTGCAGAGTTTTCTTCTAGATGAGGGAGATTTGTCCTTTGTCTTATAAATGGCACATTCTTTACTCAATTTTTTGTCTTTTGACTTTGGCTGTGGCACTTTTTTCTGTGTAAAAGTTTGTGGTTTTTGGTAGATGAATTTATTCATCTTTATGTCTTCTGGATTTTTGGTCATAGCTGTGTGTTGAAGTGTTTGATCCACTTGGGATTTAACTTGCTGTAACCTTCCAATCCTACTTCCGTAGTGATAACTGCGTTGGAAACCGAAGGAGGGGTTGCTAGGAGTCGGGGCCGACTCGATGGCAAATAACAACAACATAACCTTCCTAGGTTTTCTTCTTCCATTTTTGGTTTCACTTTTTACGTTGAAGTATGTCATCCGTTTGGGATTCATCTTGCTACACCCTTGGCAAGTATGGACACACCTTTATGCCTTCTTCACTTCTGTTCCGGTGGCTGCTGGTCTCAGAGACGGAGTGCTGCGTGTGGTGGCCATGCCCCATCTTGCCTTTTCCTGTCTGGGCCTCATTCCTCTGTGGGCCCTTACTGCTCCCCCGTGCAGGGAGAACCTTTACCCTGCAGACACACATTTCAATGTTAGAATTTACTCCTTCCTTCGCCAAATGCCTCCGTCCTGCTCCTTAGGCCTGACAGATTGATCGCATCATATTTATCAAGTAGTTATTAGGTTTTCTATGGGTTTGAAAAAAGCTTCTGCAAGTACCTTTTATTCTCCAAACCTGATTGACTCAGGTTTGTTATCTGTTGTCTGAAAACCACTGCATGTATTTTTTTCGGGTTTTGTAGTTGGTTAAGGTGTCATTGTGTGCCATTGAGTCAATTCCAACTCACCGTGACCCTGTGTGACAGTAGATCTGCCCCATACATAGGGCTCCATTGAGTCAATTCCAACTCACTGTGACCCCTTGTGACAGTAGGTCTGCCCCATAGGGCTCCTAGGCTGCGATCTCTATGAGAGCAGGTTGCCAGATCTTTTCTTCCACAGAGTGGTGGGTCAGAAGGTTGGCTCGCACACCTTTGATCAGCAGCCAAGTGTTTCACAAGTTGCGCCCAGGGCGCTTTTTATCTGAAGTAGGACGGTAACTTGTTTTTCTGCTGTGCCTGGAAGGGGAAGGATGGTTGGAGATTGTAATACCTTCTCTTCAGCCATTGATGGAGCCAGTGAAGACACAGGTGATCTCAGTAGATAGAGCCAGTAGATGGAACATCAGTGTAGAAACCAAAACCAAACCAGACTCACTGCTGTCCAGTTGATTCCTACTCAAAACGACCATCATTGGGTTTCCAGGGTGGTAAATATCTATGAAGTAGATTGTCCCATCTTCCTTTGTCAGAGTGGCTAGTGGCCATCCTTCTGGTTAGCAGTCAAATGAATGCCTTAGGCACTGCACCACCAGAGGGCCTTAGTATAGCCATAGGTGATCTCAATAGTACTGTTACCCACCTTTGTCTGAGTGTTGCTTACAGAACACTGAACTCAACACTTGACAAATCTGCTTTCTTTTCAAATGTGTGGGTTCGCCAGCATAGACGATGTGTGGGTCTCTGAAGACATCTCGGTGAACAAGGACTGGAGTCATGCACAGTACCGCCTCTGACCACAGGGAGAGTCCATCAGAAGCCATAGCAAGAAGATATGTAGGAAAATGCCAAAATTTTGCACATCTTACTAACAACACATCTTACTAACGAATTTGTCAATGAAGAAATCACAGGGCAGATCGGGAAATATTTTGAACCAATATAATGAAAGTACAGCTTACCAAAATGTAGGATAAAGTTAAGCAGTGCTTAGAAGAAGATGACAGCTTTAAATATTTAAATGTTGGAAAAGAGGAAAGGCCTGAAACTGGTGACCTGAGGTTCTGTTGTCAGACCCTCGCGGAAGAGCCAGCACATCCTGAGTAAGTAGGAGGAGATCATCAAAGATAAGGGCGGAAACAAATGAAGCAGAAAATAGAAGAGCAGTAGGGAAAATTGTTGTCAGGTGCTGTCCAGCCAGCTCCGACTCCTGGTGCCTCTGAGTGTGACGAGCAGTGTCCTGTGTGTGGCCTGGTCCTGTGCCAGACTCACCATCAGTGCCATGCTTGGGTCCATCCTCTCAGGAAAAGTAACCAAAGCAGAGTAGCCAAAGTGATAAACGCCTAGCTAGACTCATCAGTCCGAAAGGAGGAGACCGCCAGTGACCGGCATGAAAGTGAGCATGGTTATCACTGGGGTCTTAAACAAACTCCAGCCTCAGGAGACGGGGCTTCCTGCAGCTGAGGGGGTGTGCCAGCAGCGCCCCAGCCCTGGAGAGCTGCGTTCTCAGTCTGCAGTCCCTCCTTGAACCCCAGCGGGCACCTGCTGTTCCCAGCATGCTGTTTTCTGAGTCTCTTTTGCTTCTAATTTAAATGCCTCTCCTGCCCCATCTCCCCGGATCTCAGAGGCCACACAGCTCCCCTCTCCAGGGCTGATTGGATGAACCGTGCTTTCTGTACACCACGGTGTCTGTGTGTCGCATGTCCCACACCCTGCTGTCATTTTCTGACTAGTATGTGTGTCTTGCTGCACTGTTGGGCGTGTGGGCGGAGAGCTTGTGAGGTACTCCTCTCTGTCTCCCCAGCCCTAGGACACGTGGGATACTGTTTTTTTTTTTTTCCCCTTTCTTTTCCTTCTTTTTTTATAAAATTGTGATTTGGGTGAAAGTTTACAGAGCAAATTCGCTTTCCGTACAGCAGTTCACATACACTTTGTTTCATGACATTGACCACATTCTCCCACAATGCAGCAGCTCCCCTCCCACTTCCTCCCCATAATTACTTCTTCCCTGTGTCCATCCCTTCATGCACTCCTGCCCCCTGAGATGTCCCCTGTGAGTACACAGCCCTTCTTTCTCCCACGATTGTTCTCTCCAAGGAGTGAATTTACCTCAGGTAAATGTTCAGCTCCTATGCCTGTCTTTTGTTTGGCTGGAAGCCACAGATGTGCGTTCAATTCCAGACCTGAAGGGCAGCTAGGGGCCATAGTCTCAGCGGTTCCACCAGGCTCTATCAGACAAGCAAACCTGGTCCCTTCTTTTTCCCCAAATGATTATGAGTTTTGTTCCACATTATTCTTAGAACACTGTTTTTGAATGAACGTTCTTACTGGAAGCTATTTTGCCTTCCAATAGCTGAAGCAGGAATGAATCACGCGATCACAGTTTTGTTTGTGGACAGGCTGGCGGCGCGTGGGTTACTACTGTCGCAGCTTGATGACCTACCTGAGCCGCTTGGGAAATTGTTTGAGAATTTTGAGTACTCTCCTCCGTTGCTTTTAGAAGCGTTTAGCATCCCAGTGTTTCTGATGGGCTGTGGTAGAGGTTGGAGAAGAGAGAAATGGGATGTGTGTTACATGAAGTGACAGTGTGTTGTCATAGTGAGCGTGCTTAGTCTTCTTGTGTAGAGTACGGTATACTTGTATGATAACATTTTAATTGTTAACATGTGATTCAGTAAGCTGTCTGTCAGCGTGTTTCCTTCATGCTGTCCAGTGTGAGCCGTGTGTTCCCCTTCTTAGATGTCCCTTCAGGTGCCCTGTGGTGAAGGTGAGTCAGGGTCAGTGAAGGATGCAGTTCTGGCACTGCAGTTGTCACAGTGGCACTTGGAAGGAGGCAGCCTTTAATCTGTGCCGCAGGGGTTTCCCTGAGCTAATGGGGCTTGGCAGTGAGGCTGTTTGCGTGGTAACCCGAGAACTCCTGCACGGTGGGAGTTTAGCCACTGTGATTGCCCACTTGCTACTGTGTTGTTGGTATATGTTTAAATAAAAAGAATGACATATCCATTTCTCTGGTAGAGTTTGACTGAAACAGTTTAATATGTTTTCTGTTTCTATCTGAACTTGTAACTGAACTTCATTTTGCTGTTTCAACTGGAGTGAGGTGTTTTCCTTTGGCAGTTCAGATGAAAGCTGTCGTAGGCCCTTTCTTCCAGTTGAGTAAATGGGAATTATTTCATTATGTTTTTCAGAAGTAAAACTTGAGAAAACTAAGTGGAGGTTTTTTTCCCTGCTAACGGAAAAATCATACATGAACCTTCAAATGTTAAGGTTATAGCTAATTGAAAAGCCAATAAAAAAGGAATTCTTTTATATATAAGATTTATCTATAGAGTAGATAAAGACATGTCTGTTGTTATTATGTCTCTAGTAACCAAACTTTTCCTCCCTTTTTTCTTAGGTTCTTGGTTATTACAGACCATTTTCTGAAAAACCCGGAATTGGTGAAAGCCATGTACGCCAGACTGAGCAATCAAGAAAGGTAACTCCGGAAACCAGTGTGGCCTGCAGTGGTCAACACCTCATACAGTGTCCTGTGCACGTGATTGAGAAATGCTGCCGTAGTTGGCACTTTCTCTAGGTATTAACGTGTCTGTGTCGGCAGTGGTTTTAAATTGGCTGGTTGGCATTCCAGTGCAGCCACAGTGGGCAGTGTTTCCGTAGGGCCGCAGCATCCAGGTTGGCGCCCTCGTTCAGGGAAGACGTATTAATGACAGCAGTAAACGTTAAGGACAAACCTGATGCCTGTGCCTTGATTTTACACCAGGCCTCCCTGCACTGGGTCGTCCAGCTGGTGTTTTACATGGGTTTGTCATGTCACTGCTGGGATGCCTTGAGACAGTGGTCCTAGCTCTGTAGTTTTCCTGAAGGCCGTGCAGACTAAAGGGAAAGTCATACCTGTCCGTAACCCCCCCCCCCAGTCATTGTTGGCAAAGCAGTGACCCGGGAGTGGGGGACCTTGGCTTTGCTTCTTCTTCACGTGACCCCAGCCAGGCCTTTCACCTGCTTTTGGATTCCATTTCCTTACCTGGGAGATCGGGGTGCTGAGTAAGATGGTTCCCAGGCTCGTGCCTCCCCAGCGGTGAGAGAGTTTCCTGAGGGAGGTTGCCTTCAGAGTGACCCTGAAGCACAGCTCTGGTGATACCAGCCTTTCCGAGATGTGAATCTTCTGATTGTCTTCAGTTTTCATAATTTGGGAAGGCTTTCTGACTGTGTTTTTGAGTTCCAATAGTTAAGTTTTATGCAGTCCTTTGTAATCTTTTAAGTAATTTTTTAAAAGTATCTTTAGCAAAAATCAAAAGTCGATATTTTTAGAGTCAGCTTGAATATCAGGGTTATAATGCGGTAGCTCTCCCACCACGCCCCCCTCTCCCCAAGGTGTGTCCTTCCATTATAGGAAGATACTTGCTTGTTGTTTTTGACCCACAATGACTAGCTTGCTGTGCTGGCTGGAGGTGAGAGTGTTGCTTTGCAGTGAGGAGCCTGAGTGCCCGGAGGCCGCAGGGCTTCCTTGCTTCTCAGTATCCAGCTTTCCAGTGTCCCCGTTCCCACCAGTGACCTGCCTGTACGCGGCCTGCTGCGTTGCCAGGTGCGGGTGGCAGGTGACCAGCTCCCGTTGTCAGTGTGGAAGGTGTCGCAGGTGCTGCCCCACGTCGTGCAGGTTTCTGCCCGGATGTCACCGCCTGCCTCTGCCCTGGTGCTGGCCTCTGCTCCCTCGTTTGTCGTACACGGTGTCGGAGCGTGTCCCTGCTTGCTCTCCATGTCACGGGCTCCGTGAGGACGTGGTGTCCTGTTGCCCAGTGCTTGCTTAGATGTCACTGGGCTCCAAGCACAGTGCTCCGAGTGAATGGACGGGCCGGCAGCTGCCTTTCTGCTACCGCCCTGCGGGGCTGTGAATACAGAGGGTGGGCCTCACCGGCCAACTTGGGCCCTTGGTGTTGCCTCGGCCCCGCCCACTTACCATGCTCCTTGGGTTGGTCGCCTGCCCTCTGCTGTCACCATCTCAGTGGGTTACGAATTCACTCTCCTTTGTTTGGCACCCGGTCCACCTCTGCACTGTCTTTGACTAGCCCTTCCCCTTCTCTGTCATCTCCTCTGTTGTCCTCCTGGTCCTCCCCTTGCTGTTTTCAGAGGCTCCATAGCCTGCAGGATGCAGGTCCGTCCCACGGCAGGGTGTGTTCGGCCCTTTATAACCTAGCTTCACTCCTGGCTGCTCTCCCCACGCCCCCTCCCTCCCCGGTCACCATATCATGGCCACGCAGAACTTTTCTGAGTTTGCCAGGCCTCCCCTAGAGGTGCAGGCTTTTGCCTGTGTCCTTTCCTCTGCTTGGGACGTCCCGCCCTTCCTCCTGCTGGTAGACACTTAGCGACGTGTTCTGTGGCTTTCCCAGGCCAGGGTCTGTTGCAGCGTCATCTGTGCGGTTATCATAATGACTTGCTTTTCCATTGGACTCACACTTCCTAGTTCTCAACCCTCAACACCCAGCAGCAGAATCAGTATTGGGACAGAATTGGAAGGATGACTGTCAAACACCTGGAAGTGTTTTTAAGGTGATGTTGTTGGTCTTTGAGCTGCAGACAGTTGAGGTGCTGGCAGTAGATGGTGTGCAGCTGGGGAGGAGGCACTGTGGAAACTGTCAAGGGAACTTGTGTCTCTGTCAGGCTGGCTTGGGGGTGGCCACTACTGCCTACTGTCACAGTTGGCTCAGAGTGGTTCCTGGCTATACCTGGGTCTGCTTCCTTGTTTCTGTCTGTGTTCTCAGGGAAAAAGTGGGGCCCCTGACACCTTGGAAAAGTGTCTGAAAAGAGCTGCTAGAGCAGGGAGGGTCAGTGGGGTGGGGAGATGCAGAGAGACCCTCCCAGGACCCGGCCCCTCCCTGCGTCTCTTCTAGTCCACGTCACGTGAACAGCGGCCCCGGCACTACTGCCCTTCCTTCAGTTCTCTGTCCTTTATCTCTTGAGCAGCCATCCATCGGGTTACGGTTGCTGGAGGAGAGGAGTCGTCTCCAGATAGGGTGCAAGGGACTGTCCAGTCACACATGGCAGAAGGGGCTGGAGCCTCTGCTCTGGCTGCTAGTTACCTGCACGATCAGAAGGCAGTTCACTTTGCTGGGCTCACAGATGATACAGCGGGGAGAGCTGGGGTGTAGAGTCCACGTCCTGGGGCTGTGACACGAGTTCTCTGTCCGTTAGAAAGTCTGGACAATACCAGACGGAAACAAGCTGTTGCTAGATCACTTGTCCTCATGGACCGTCTTCCTTTCATTAATTTCTTACTGAACTTGGGTTCAGTGAGTCCCTGTGATGTGTGTATTGCAGAATGACGAAGTTGCCTAGCGCGTTAGTGGTTGAGGAGAGGATACTGCTTTTGGTAGCATCACTTGGTCTTGTGTGTGGCAGTAATATTGTCACTTTGGAGTTTGTCCATCAGAAACAGTCTGGCGGTCCCTGATAGCTTCCGGGGCTGTGGGTGTACGCCTCTGCCCACACGTTGTGTGTTGCCTGTGGCCACAGGAGATTGGAACTCCAGGGACTGGTGTCCTGGGCACCAGATGTGAAGTTGTGACCTCTATAGGCATAAGCAGGTAGTTAAGGTGGCATGCTAGGACAAGATGTTGCTCTTTTCAGATGCCGATTGCAGGAGGATGTGGGGTACGGGGTAAGGCAGAAGGGGAACGTCTCACTGACAGCCTCCTGACGCCAAACAATGTTACGTACCCCTCCCCTTGTCTGCATTTTGTGCTGTGAGTGTTCTTGTTTTCCCACTGAGGACATGATCAGAGAAGACATTGAACAGTTCGTATTTGACAAACACCAAACCCAAAGATGAGGAAATTAAACATTTTTACTGGCTTCCACAGTCTGAAGTTAACAGACATGCAATCAGGATGTGTTGATTATCACTGGTGATTGGAATGTAAAAGTTGGAAATAAAGAAGAATCACTAGCAGTTGGAAAATATGGCGCTGGTGGTAGAAATAACCCTGGAGATCTCATGATAGAATTTTAAAAGACCAATGACTTATTCATTGTAAATACCTTTTTTAAACAACACATATGATGGCTATACACATGGACTTTGCCAGATGGAATACACAGGAATCAGATTGACTACATCTGTGGCAGGGGGTGATAGAGAAGCTCATTATCTTTAGCCAAAAGGCCAACAGCTGACTGTGGAACAGATCATCAGTTGCTCATATGTACGTTCAAGTTGACCTTGATTATATCCCTCCTGAATTTAGAGACCATCTAAAGAATAGATTTGATGCATTGAACATCAGTGACCAAAAACCAGAGGAATTATGGGATGACATCAAGAATATCACCCATGAAGAATGCAAGAGGTCATTTAAAAGATAGAAAGAAAAGACCAAAATGGGTGTCAGAACAGACTCTGAAACTTGCCCTTGAATGGAGGGTAGTGAAAGCAAATGGAAGAAATGACAAGATAAAAGAGCTGAACAGAAGATTTCAAAGAGCAGCTCAAGAAAACCAGGTCAGTTATTATAATGAAATGTGCAAAGACCTGGGGTTAGAAAACCAAAAGGGAAGAACACGCTTGCCATTTCTCAAACTGAAAGAACTGAGGTAAAAAGACCTTTTTATGGTGCTGAAGAGCAAAGATGTCTTTGAAGACTAAGGTGTGCCTAATCCAAGCCATAGTATTTTAAATTGCCTCATATGCATGTGAGAGCTGGGTAGTAAACAAGGAAGACTGAAGAAGAGATGATGAGTTTGAGTTGTATTGGTAAAAAATACTGAAAGTACCATGGACTGCCAAAAGAACTAACAGATCTGTCCTAGAAGAAATGCAGCCGGAATGCTCCTTGGAAACGAGAATGGCCAGACTCTGTCTCGCCTGCTTCGGTCATGTTGTGAGAAGGGGACCACTCCCTGGAGAAGGGTATCAGCTTGGTAAAGTGGAGGGTCAGCGAGGAAGGGGAAGGCCCTCAGCGAGTTGGATTGACACAGTGGCTGCAGCGATGGGCTCAGGTACAGCAGGGACTGTGAGGCTGGCACGGGACCGAGCGGTGTTTCGTTGTGTTGTACACAGGGTCACAGGGTCGCTGTGAGTTGGAGTCGGCTTGATGGCATCTAACAACAACAACAATTTGACAGATGTGTACACATGTACAATGATCTTGTTACGTGAGTCATGCGGTGTTCTGAGCACTTGACAGCATTAACTCAGTCATCGTGTCAGCTCCGTAAGTTTGGTATTGCTACTGCCCCTACTTTGTAGATGTATTAGTTGAGGAAGAGAGGTTAAGTAGTTTGTTTAAGGGCACCCAGCCAGAGGTGGCCGACTTGGGCCACCCAGCTCCACGGTCCATGCTGCCAACTAGACAGGGTAGTTCCTCTGATGCCCTCATTGTAAGAGCACCTACAGGTCGGGTCCCTGTGAAGAACAGATGTGTGATGTTCCCTTTCAGGAAGCTGCTGATTTCTGCTGCGCACGTCCACCGGATGGAGTGTTTC